CCACAGGAAAAGCAGCACACAGGGCAAGGAGGCACATTGCTCAGAGAGCAATGGGCAGAGAGGGCACCCAGACCGGTCCAATCAGTCTAGGTGTATTTAATAACCAGATGAAGTTTGTAGCCAAGGACCATAACCAGCGGGGTACAGTGTGAGTGTGGCATTCAGCATCTTTGTGGATTTGGTATGTTTCAAAGGGATGGGAACATTTGGGTGTACATGAATCAGTATTTGGGGAAAATTTTTTTTTTAATTTGTAATACTTATTTTGCTCCAGTAATCAAGCACCACGTTGGCTCAAGAGCAGCAGTTCTCAACCTGTGGGTCTTGACCCCTTTGGAGGTCAAATGACCCTTTCACAGGGGTTGCCCAATTCTTAACAGTAGTAAAATTACAGTGATAAAGCAGCAACAAAAATAACTTTACGATTAGGAGTCACTACAACATGAGGAACTATATGAAAGGGTCACGGCATTAGGAAGGTGGAGAGCCACTGCCCAAGAGGCTACTGGTATGTTGGTGGGAGCAAGAGGTGTGTGCACTGGGGCAGTAAGGAGGCAATAGGGTGATACTGCTTCCATATCATTTGCTATTGACAATAGCACCAGTATTTGAAATATGAATCCACAATATGGAATATGAAAACTGAAGTTCTTTACATTAGTTCATACTGATTGTGAATTTCTGGGGAAAAGTCAGTATGTTGAATTGGCTGCTGTTTTGCTCACTGGCGTTCAGCATCGGAAGGGCTTAAGGACTTTGATCCATAGAGATGGACACAAAAGAAAACAGAAATTTATAAGCATGTACAATAGGTGTTTTTTCTATCTTCTTTGAAAACACATCCTTGAATATTCACAGTGATTACCAGCATGCTCTGAGGATATGGTAAAAGGCAGTGAGAGTGTGAATCTGATGGGGTTTCTATATTAGGATAATGCATTATATCAAACTCACGTCCACACAAAGAAAAGTCATATTTTATTGACCATGCATTATTACACGAAGATAGTGGAGGCATGAAGTAGGAGAGAAGTCATATTAGCGTTGCTAGCAATGGGCAGAAGCGGGGTAACTACAGCATGCAAGCATGCAGAGAGGTAGAAAGGAAAAAAAAAGTACTGAAGCACCAGAGAGATAGATGCATTTGTTAAAAGAGATTCTCTAAGCATACTAACCTGCTGGTTCTAATGAATTTTCTACTTTGTCGTTAACATCGAAAACACGATCATGAACACCTATAGTTTTCATACAGCTATCTATAACGAAAATAGAGATAACAGCCAAATATGTTAGTGAAGACACCCTTATACTCCCATTTCTTTCTTTCTTTTTTTTCTTTCTCTCTATTTTTTTCCTTTTACTTATGTAGCGATTGTGTTACAATCAATGGCACATATCCGGATGCCAATCTTATCCCCGTTTGCTATGCCCGTACAACAGTCTAAGAAACAACAAGTTAGCAACTGCTGTGTACTCAAATAAAAGCATCATGAAGAATGATGAGGAAAAAAATATGATGAAAACTAAAACATGGATGTTGATATACAAAACAGGTACCACACAGGATTTAACACTTAAAAAAAAAAGTTTCACTGCTGTGAACCAGACCACACGATAGAGCATGCGCAGTGGAGCTCCCCTCATTCTGGTGAACTTACTTGTTGGTCTCACAAAGACTTTGAGCTTTAGGCAGGACCTTCTTCCATGATCTGGGATTGCGGATGCTGTGGGTAAGGCAGGGAGAGAGGGGGGGCGGGGAGAATAAGGAGAGGTTACGTTTCATATTCAAATACGAATGGCCTATAAAAAAAACTTCCCAGAACCACAGGGACATCGTCTAGTTCTTCCCAGAGGTAAAACCAACAGCGCTTTTCATACTGATACAGACCTCTATAGAAAGGGCGACGTCCCTATCCCCAGCCTCTTTGGTCAGTCCAGTAAAGAACCAGGCATGCAGGAATGAGGGTGATGTGTTCAATAACTCTTCTGGGTTTCTATCCCAAAGGTTCTTCCACTTCACATGATCTGTTACCAATTTCTCCCAATCACGATGGTAATTCCTGAGTCCTGCTTTCGTGGAGCTACTACTCCAGAGGCTCAAGGTGAAAGTGCTAACAAAAACCACTAACAGATAGTTATAAGGCAGACTTGAACATGACCCGTTTCTGCCAGGGAAAGCTGAGCTCTGTCTGTCCTGAAAGCTTGTCTGTCAGTGCTTCGCAGGTAATTCAATGAGAGGTTTTGCTCAGAACTTGGCTCCGCATTCTATATGACTGAACTGAGCCCAGCAACCTCCATCATGCTATTATAAGTACAATATGCTATTGAGAAAGTACTATGTTGCAATGCATTTTTTACCCACCCACCCCTACTTTTTAAAAAATTTGCCACAGAGAAGGATGGAATTAATAAAAGTCGACTCACTGAAACATGACAACATGTTTCAAGTTATAAATCATTTGAGGAAGAAACTTTCTTCTCCTATTCAAGATAATAAGGCTGCAACATTTCCCTCTGTTTGAAAGATTATCTCCCCTCAGTACACGCCTGGTAACGTCAAAGGGATTCTCAAGGGCTGTGAGACCCTTCACAACCACTAATGCATTCTAGATATGACAAGAATTAGAGAAACGAGGGCTGCATGCTTTCCTCTTTATGTGTCTGCTTCAAGTGGTTTCTTTGTTCAGGAAAAGCAGATGACATCCATCAACACACACATGGCTCACAATTAAGTGTTGTGATGGCATCCGCGACCAAAGGGCCCGGCGCTTGGTGTGCCTCCTCTCTCTCCTCTTTCATGATTCCTCATGGGGAGCCGAGAATAGGTAGGGGCGTTTTTTTTGTTGTTGTTGTTTTTGCAGCCAGTAGATCAGGACACAAACTACTTTCAAATGAATCTCCTCATCTTTCAGACTCGGATCCAGCTCCCACTCACTATCTTTGGATGAAAACTTACAAATCCACCACCGAAAAGACACCAAGCAGTCAAGAAGCACGCAGGGTTCCCACCAAACGCCTGATGAAAACGTGACCATTTCAAGATAAAAGTACACAGAAAACAAGTTTTTCCGGCCCTTCCCATCCCCCTGGTTGTTCTGACAAGCAGTTAAGAAGGGCTAACAGCTGGCTTTGCTGCAGGCTTTCATTAAATCAAAGTCGGAAAAACTCCCTCTTCTGACATTTACAGTAACTGGGGTGTGTTATTTAGGGCACAATATTTGCACTCTGTGGTTTGATCCAGGAAATGGTGTCCTTCCTGTGGACCCCAACTGCAAGTGTGCCTGTCACAAACAGAGTACACATAGGTGACGCCAACTCGTTAGCAAAACCATGGGTTCTTGAGACAGCTTATGTCATATTCATAGAAGGTCGCGTGAACGCGTGATGCAGGGCTATTCACACAGCCGTTCTGTGGGGTTCTGAGCGCAGACGCACCTACGTCAAGCCTGTCAACTCGGCTTGTCACATGTGGCAGCTGATGGTAGACACACTCCTGCAAGCCGTAACGGGCTCAAGGCAGGATCAGAGTTTTAACTGTTTTACTGAGGAGGTTCTTGAACTTAGTACTGGTCTTTCCGATGCTTTGTGAAGAGAAATTGTGTAAATTTACGCAATCAAAGCCACTGGGTGGGCACGATGAAGTGACTAAGTGGTGCACAGCTCGGGCGCCAGCAAACCATCCCACCAGCAACCAACAAGGGACAATTAGCTGGAGCTCTTCCATGAGCTGTGCACGTCTTCTGTGAAAAGACAAAAAGCTTTTTATTTCTAGAAATTAAATTCTCTCTTTGTTATCACCGTTCCCCATTCCTTCCTTAACTTTCTTGACCACCAGGAAAGCTGGAATGATGATCACGTGATTGATACCATTGGATACTGTGTGAGTAACATACTCTTGCTTATTGCTTATATTTTAATGATTGCATTCCTCAGAAAAAATATGAACAAAACTTACTTTTACTATACGATTACCTGGCACAGGGTTATACCAAATGATCATATTTACAATCTTCACTCTGAGATCAAAGGGTGTGCTTTGCTTTGTGAATTTATTTTGGGTTCTTTACTTATCATGTTGAAAAAATTATACCCCACCCCCAAAATAACCTTTCTGTAGATTCTGTATTATTAGAGCAATGTTGTAAAAAGTGAGAATATTGCTTGATTTCATTCTATACCAGGGAAAAGTAGAAAAGTCTTGCTAGCAGGGGGTGTTCATGTTCAGACATGCATAGGTTTATTTAAAACAAAGTGTGTTTAAACATGTCTCTGCCATCCCGGGGTGGCTGCAGACAAGCTCTCTCAGTCGTACACTTTCTGCAGTCTCTTTAGGATGCCTTTAAAATGATATTTTTAGAGAAAAAATGATTTGTGGTCAGGGTTAATACCAAATGATTACCAAACTCAGGTGGACATCTTCCCAAATTATTAAGCTTTGCAAAAAAAGTCTGGAGCATGCTGCCCTGCGGGAAAACACCAGGTTTTAGATGGATCAAGTGTTTCAAAGAAAGATTTCAAAGACAGTCAAATCCAATCCAGAGAGGAAGGTCCAACTAAAGCAGTGTCTTCGGAGAGAATCTGCGAGGCCAGTTGACCGTGAGGCCACGAGCTCGGCTCAGAAGGTTAAGATGACTGTTTTAGGGGGATTCCAAGTGGGGATCCTGATGAATTTTTTGGAAGGACACAGGGCCATCACAGGGACTTTTTATGCACTTCTAAGAAAACTCAAAACTGGATTGATTAAAAAAAAAAAAAGCCAGGAAATTTGCCCCACGGACACCTTTTTCCACATCATGACATTGCACCTGCTCATTCTCCAAGGGTAGCAAGGGTGTCCTTTGAGCATGTCATTGGGAGACCTGATCTGTCCACCTGAGAGCCCCCACCTTGTGCCTTCAGACTGTTTTGTTGGCAAAACTCAAAAAGCATTTTTAAAAAGGAGTCCGATGGAGTGAAACAAGGATACATAGACTGGTGATGTGACATGGTGTCAATTAAATAGTACAGAATTCTTTGCTGAGAGTTTAAAGAGACGGTAACAATGCGTTCAGGGGTGTATAGGCCTAGATAGTGGCTATAGATAGAAGTTATAACTTCACATTTGGTATTTTTGTTTAGTAATGGCTTCTATAATTTTATAGCAATGCTTTTTGACTTACTGTCATATTTAAGGTATCTTCTTCACCCTATACCTCTTAGCTGACAAATGCTGGATGAATGCATATCGCTTATAAATATAACCCCAACCCAAACTCACTGCCATCAAGTCGATTTTCACTCACAATGACCCTTCGGGGGAGAGTGACCTGTCCCTGTGTGTTTCCCTGCGAGTTAGGATCAATGAAGAGCGAGTGCCAGCCATAATCCCTTAAGGGCTGTATCAAAAGCGGGGCTTCAGACACCTATGGCTATCACCCCATTTTGGAGGGCATTATCCACCACCAAACAGGCATGGAATTAAGACCTGAACGGTATAGAGGGTGCGAATTGGGCCACACTCTTAGTTTAATGGTTATCTTGGTTACTGTTGCTTCTAATGGATGTAAAGAATAATATGCTACAGATATGAGAGAAAAATGGTTTCTGGAGTGGGCTGGGAAAAAGGGTGGCTGATTAAGATTAGTGAAGGACAATGCTTACTGCAAACATCCGGCCAGAGGCCCCACAGGCCATAGGTACATATCAATGATTTATTTGGGTATTACTAAAAAGATGAAAGAGTTGTATGTCGATCTGATCACACTACTGATACTCAATGTAAGTCCTACCAAATGGCCTTTGCTTGCACGGGTCTGGTACGGAGGGTGGGGGGTGGGGGGAGTACTGCTACTATTTGCCTTATTTGGCGTCTGAGAGTGTCCCAGAGACATGCTTCAGAGAAAGTTTCATTAGAGGTTACACAGGTTCTCCATAAACCAAGCAACAGCAACTTGGACAAGAGAATTAAAGGATTTCACCATCAATGTCCAAACTGGAGCTTTTAGCAACCTGTGGATCATAGCCACAATAATGAACTTGAGCGTACCAAGGATCATGAAGCTTGCACGGGACAAGCTGTCTTGTTCTAGTCTTCGTACGCTTGCCGTGAGTTCTCACAGACTCAAAGGCAACTAACAACAAGGAAGGATTCATGGGCTTTTTAAAAGACGTTGTCAAATTAAAACAAGAAACCAACTTGTGTTTTAAAAACTAGTCATATAACCCAAATTCACATTCTTCTACTCCGTTTACAGCCTAAAATGTACTGTGGAGTCAGAAAGCTTGGAGCGGGATATGGGGACCATTAAAACAAGCAAAAAGCTCACATTCCATTATCTTAATAGCAACTCTATAAATCAATCCGTAGGGTAACTTCCCTCTAATGATCTGCAAAGTACCAATCAAAATCTTGCACTATATAATGAAATACGAAGTGGGGGCCCTCTGGTGATCATGTTTAGAATACTATGCTAATGAGGCCACGAGGGGTTCTAATTTCAGCCATTGCAGGAGACACGTCCCCTTGGTCTCCTGGGGCTTAGGTGATCAGGGCTCAGCACTCATCAACCAGCTTGGTACTCAGAGGGGACTCTATTTAATGCCTCACATCAGTAATTCCAAAAGCTGCATTTAGAATTACAAATATATGCACTATTCATGCGACTGTTGACTACAGGTCTCTCAGACAAGATAATGCTGGCATCATGCTTGCGACACAGCTCACAGCGGCCCCCGGCTTCTTGCA